AAATCGGAAAAAGTTCTTAGAGGAAGGTTTTGACCACCCACGACCATTTTCTGCCAAAAAGTTTAATTCTGGTGTAAGATGAGTCGCCTTTTTTAAGCCATTTTAAATAATGATGAAAAACAAGAAAAATTCTAAAAAGTTTTTTTTAACTATGAGCGCAAAGTTTGACATCGACGAAAATTGGCCAAAGTGACTCTCTTACATCCCTAATGAACATACTCGAAGGATTTTTTTGTCCTCCGAAGGGATCGTTACGAAACAGCGCGTCGAATGCTGAAAAACCCGCATTTTTCGCCAAAATTGACCTTCAGACCCATGTTTAGGCCAGTGGTAGACCCCGAAATAGATCGGAAATGACAAAACCATTGTGCATTCCGTAAAATATAGACCTTCAATGACCAAAAAATCGCGGAGTTGAGGAATTTTAGGGTGGGGCCAAAAAAGGCCCTTAACGATACTCCTCCTTTAAAGTAAAAACATTCATAACTTTCCTCAAGAATGAATATTTTATCGAAGGAATTTTGGCAACTCTCGAATGTTCATACGGCGTTTAGCACGGCAGAATAATAAGTAAAACCCTCCGAGGTTGAATGTAATGATTGGGATGCAACTATTCGTGCCCGGCGATTGTCCGTATTGCATATGCAGTAAATTGAAGGCGATCCCGCTTTCCTTCCTTTAACAGCGATGCGTGCGACCTGACGCCCCATATGAGGTCGTTCCGACAGCCTTCTTTCATCGTCTCAAAAGAAGCAGAATACTTAAAAGTTTTAGAGTATGTATACATTTTTGACGTAAACACAAATTACACAAGTCATTTTACGGCTTACTTGTGGAATTTTTTTCAAATGGGGTACCGATATGATAGTGTGCTTTCGATCGTTATATGAATATCAGGGCCGGATTTACTTACTTGCCGCCCATGGGCCGCCTGTATTTTGCCGCCCTCTTCTCATTCATTTTGAAACATCAATAAAAGCCATCAAGTAAACGTGCCGGAGGGGGAGAGGCGTATAAGACGCGTTTACTCGTGTTGGTCACATTTCTTGTGAACGCCCTGTCAACACTACTAGCAAAAGCTCACGGAACTTGCCGCAAAAGTTAAGTTCCGTAAACCCATCTCTGTATGGACAAGGCCCTCCATTTATAAGAAATGAACCAAAAAATTATGAAAGAACAAGCATAAATGTGGTTTAATAATTTTAACTTCCGCCACCGCGCCGCGCCGCACTGACCGCACTGTATTTGGCGCAATGCGTGAAGTATTCCTACAGTCTTACATGCGCTATGCGTTTCGGGCCGACCGCTGCTGCACGCACTGTGTTTGACGCAATGCTTAAAGTATTCATGCAGTCTTGTAGGCGCTATGCGTTTCACGCTGCCCGCTGCTGACCGCAGCGACCGCACTGTCTTTGGCACAATGCGTGAAGTATTCATGCAGTCTTGTAGGCGCTAATATGTGTTACATACTGACCGCCGCGCCGAGGGTTTCTCCTTTTCATCTCACGTTCTCGTCATCGTTGCTCTCTGCGCCGCGCCGTTCCAGGCCAAATTCCGTGTTCGGTTTCTCTCTTAGTCTTAATTCGACTAATTAAAGGTGCTGTCTATTGTATCACAGAAGGACGACAAAATTAGAGATATACTCTCAGGAAATGAGAGATTTTGTCACCTTTTTTCGTTCGTAATTTTTTTGTTTGAATCTGATTTTTCTTTATGGCTACATTTAAAATTGCCGCCCCCTAAATTTGCCGCCATGGGCCGCGGCCCATGTGGCCACCCCCTTAATGCGGCCCTGATGAATATACTTCAACGCCCTTTATTTTTTATTTAAGCTTTTTTTGTTTGAAAAATAAATATATTAAGAGCCAATTTGATCATTTTCCGTTAAGATTTAGCCTCCGCGAGTAATACCTGCTCTGAGTGACTGTTACCTTATTATCTCTGGCTATGTTTACTGGTTTTTTAGTTCTAGTGAATCCAAAAAGTTCATTGGTATTTTGAAACAATTTTTCAAAAATAAAAAATTAAAGATAAAAACCTCGCTCATTAGAGTTTTAATCTCAACTTAAATACCAGAGATGATAGAGCTGGCCGGGGGTAAATGATCTTTCATATGTTATGATATTTCCTTAGCTTAGTACACAAATACAAATACAGTGATGCACGTTTCTCACGTAATGAGGAACGGATCAACGAGGAAAAGTTAATCACAAAAAAACTAAATGCGTCGACGATGAAAGATCATATTATTTTAAAGGAATTTTTTAGTTTCAAAATAAAAACTGCTAGTACTTTTAGAATCGTCTACAGTATTACAAAAAAGCGCAAAATCTCAGCAGCGTTGTAATAAACTTGTATCCTCTCAGCTAAACTTTTGAATTATGGTGCACTTTATTAAGGTCGACAACTTGAGCCTCGTCGTTTTTCGTAGGAACTGTGAGCTCCGAGCAAATGACGGTTATCGCAAGCGGTTTCACTGAAACCAGCTTCAATATGCTCAATTCACAATCATCCAAATATGCTCAAGTGTCACCTAGAAAAATGCATTCGGAAGAGCCCTACCTTTTTTATCATTGTGTATCAGTATTGACTACGCAACGAGAGAGTGAACTTTCTAGAAAGTGTGAACTTTCTCTCTGTGCATCTATACTTAATCTGTTATGCTTTGAAATCTCGCGAAGGTTTTATCGAAAGCGCTCTTCAGGCGGGTCGATTGTTGAAATTGATAGACAAACGATAGACAAAGAAGACATAAAGAGTATGGAGCGATCCTATTGGTTGAAATGAATGGTTCTTATAGACTATGGGAGAAAATGATGGACTAACTAAAGGGTCTCTCGTGGGTTGCCGTTAGTTAGTCTATTGCCTACCTCTTTTGTCCATTGCAACTACCCGTTTCCACCAATAGGATCCCATCATTTTTGTCCTCTTGGTCTATTGCTTTGTCTATCAATTTCAACAATTAGCCCGCAGGCGTTTTCCCCCGCACTCTAGAATGTGCCTCGTTGCTAACTTTTTTTCTGATGCATAAGCCTCAGCTTGCATAACCTAAATGTTTATCCTGTGATAAGAAAGAACGCAAGTACGAGAATTAAGTTTTTTTTTAAAACGTTGAGGAATTTTTCGGTGAGAGGGCCAAGGGCGTATGAGACTTCCAATGCTGCTAAGATTGTGCAAAGCAGGTCTCTAGTTATAAGTAACTTATCAGACAGTTCTGCTATGAAGTTTTCCCTGAATTTATTTCGAGTTTTTCTTCACTATCGTAAGGAAGTAAGTCGGCTGAGAATGAATTTCACATGCTGCAAACGCTATAAAAATTGCAAACTCTTAGCAGCATTGCAAGCTTCATACATCCTTTTACCGGAAAATGGGTTAGATATATCATAAAAAATCAATATACACCAATAGTATATGTAACGTCGCATCTACTAGTACATTCAAGCCTCTTGAGACTCTTATTTTATGAACAAGGTACTTCATTATTTTTAAAACAAATATAAATCTAGGCATGCGTCGATGTAAATAAATAACTTCAAAAATATTTTAAAGAACTAATTTTTTGAATACTCGGTTGTCACTTTCTGATCGACCTTTTCCAGTCGCTCAACCAATAAAGTATGGATAAAACCACATCAGCAGAGGCAGTAAAAGGCAGGCGTAAAAACTGGAGGAAAAATTTGCCGAAGTAACATCCCGGGTGTTACAAATCTGCGCGACAACTCTTGAAAGTTAGTATGCACACCATAAACGTAGCTAGGCTGTTACTTTAACAGCCGGAGTGTCCATAACAACATTCATGAGGTATCGCGCAGATTTTTAACATCCGGGGTGTTACCTCAGCAACTTTTTCACCGTGTAACTTTTCTTATATTCTTTTCACCTTAATATTTTTTTATTTATTTACTCTTAAAAGCTCATAATCAGAGGGAAACAGTTAAATTTAAAACCGAGAGCATTTATCAAATACGTACAGGCACATCAAGATACTTGGTCTCGTAGGTGTAGTCCTCCGCAAAAACAGTGCTCGCAGCCCACACAATCGTTATCACACAAAAAAACACGAGACTTTTCCCGCCCATTTTCCTGTCTGTGACAATCGGATTGTCCCGGAGCGCGGCGCGGGCGACAAAATTATGATAACTAAAATTGGTTGGTATTTTTCTCAATTCTCAGTGGCCGCTCTATCGGACTCCGCACTCACTGTCAGTCACGGTGAACCAACAATAAGTGACGATAGACTGGATCCGCCCATTGATGCCAAACTTTCAATACGGAGGGTATGGATTCGATCGACATGAATCGATCGAAAAATGAAAACGTGAATCGATCGACGTGAATCGATCGACACCGATTCGATCGACAAATTGTCAAAAAACCGGTGTCGATTCGATCGACATGAATCGATCGAAAAATGAAAACGTGAATCGATCGACACCGATTCGATCGACAAATTATTAAAAAACCGGTGTCGATTCGATCGACATGAATCGATCGAAAAATGAAAACGTGAATCGATCGACGTGAATCGATCGACACCGATTCGATCGACAGTTAATTCAAAAACACCCGGATCGATTCGATCGACATGAATGGATCGAAAAATCAAAACGTGAATCGATCGACGTGAAGCGATCGACACCGATTCGATCGACAAAATTCGATCGATTCACGGGCTTGTCGATCGATTCACGGGTTTGTCGATCCATTCACGGGTTTGTC